TCACCGAAGACAGGCACGAATTAACATCAGTAAGGCTTTCCCACAATGCAACAATTAGGAGGCTTGGATTCGGTCTGCCTGATTTAAGGCGGTAAGCACCAGCAAGCAGCTCGACCAAAGCATGAGCTGCAGGTCACCGAAGATAGGCACAAACCAACACTAATAAGTCTCCCCCACAATACGGCAATGAGAAGGCTTGGATTCGGTTTGCCTGATAGGTTTTGTAAGCACCTGCAGGCAGTTCTAGCAGAGCAGAGCATGCGCTGCAGGGCACCGAACACAGGCACGCATCAGCGCCTAAAAACCTCCTCACAACATGGCGAAGAGAGGACCCGGATTCGGTTTGCCTGATAGGACTTGTAAGAGCCTGTGGCAACTCTAGCAAGTAGAGCAGAGTGTGTGCCGCGGGACACCGAAGACAGGCGCGTATCAACGCCAAAAATAAAAAGAAAGGGGGATCTGTGGGGAGCAATCCGGACTAGACTAAGTTACTCGAATTAAGACTTATTCTATGCATCTGCTCTCCCACAATGTGGCGTTGGGAGAGAAGTAAACAGCTTCCGCACAGCTGCCTCCAGTTCAACTGATAAACTGTAGGACTTGCTCCTGATTGGAGGAGAGTGGCGTACTCGGCGTGTGGGCAGCCGAGTTAGGATTGGCGGAGGAGGACTATAAAGGAGGAGAGAGACGGCATGCACCGGGAACATCTATGGGGAACATCTAAGGGAACCCGTGCAGCCCCTGAGAAAGCCGGCCGGCGGTGTGCCGCTCCCCTGTGGAAGTGGGGAATGTGGCCAGGGGGAACCGCCCTTCCACGGAGGTGGAAGGGATAGTAGCCAACCCGGGAAGAACCAGCAGCAAACCCGGGGAGGGCCGAGCAGACGAAAGAACAGCGCAGGGTCCTGTGTCGTTCCTCCACGAAGAGGGGGTGCGACAACATAACTGACTGGAATGGGAGCATTATCAAACCACAAGGAAATAAAGCACAAAATAGGTAACAAGTAAACATGCATCACTAGAAAAACAGTCACACTCCTAAGAGGCTATAAACCACATACAACCTCAACAGAATGTGAAGAGCAAAAAAAATTGGATTAAAAAGTAACAAGTCTGGGGCTGGTGCCTTGTCGCACTAGGTTAGTCCTCCAGCTGCAGCGCCAGCATCCCATATGGGCCAATGGTTCTAGTCCCAGTTGCTCCTCTTCCAGTCCAGCTCTCTGCTGTGGCCTGGGAAAGCAGTGGAAGATGGTCCAGGTGCTTGGGCCCCTGCACCCACATGGGAGTCCAGGAGGAAGCACCTGGCTCCTGGCTTCGGGTCGGCACAGCTCCAGCCATTATGGCCATCTGGGGCGTGACCCAATGGATGGAAGATCCTTCTCTCCGTCTCTCTCACTGTATGTAACTCTACCTGTCAAATAAGTAAAATCTTAAAATAAAATAAAATAAAATAAAAAGAACAGAACAAGTTCAGGGGCCAGCGCTATGGTACAGCAGGTAAAAGTTGCTGTCTGAAGTGCTGCCATCCCATGTGGGCACCTGTCGAGTTCCAGTTGCTCCACTTCAAATCCAGCTACCTGTTAATGCATCTGGGAAGGCAGTGGAAGATGCCCCAATTCCTTCGGCCCCTGCACCCACACGAAACCCAGATGAAGCTCTTGGCTTCAACATGGCCCAGCCTTAGCTTTGGCCCAGCCCTGGTTGTGGCAATGGCAGCCATTTGGGGAGTCATCCAGCAGATGGAAGACCTCTCTCTGCCCGTCCTCTAACTCTTTCGAATAGATTTTAAAAAATAACATTCCATACAATAGGGCTAAAAAATCCTGCAATACTGCAGAAAACAATATCAATACATTCCCTGTTTCTAAACACCAGCAATCAAACATCTAAACAATTAGTCAGATTATCATTACTTGATGGAGACAGTCTGAAAAATTTTGTCGAGGCAACATCAAGTATACCTATACAAACTAGACGGTACAGCATCCATTATCAGAGTCTATTAAAAGTCCTGGCTACTCTGCTTCTGATCCAGTTTCCTACTAATGCACCTAGGAAGGTGGCAGAAGATGGATGGAATACTTGGGCTTTACCCCTGCCACCCATATTGGAGACAGGGATGGTGTTCCTGGCTTCAGCCTGGCCGAGCCCCAGCTTTTGTGCACATTTGGGGAGTGAACCAGAGGATGCAAGATTCCCTGTCTCTCCCTCTCTGTCCCTTTGTCTTTCAAGTAAATAGATCTTTAAAACAAAAACATTTCTAGTCAAAAGGCGGAAGATCTGTATGATCAAACTTCATTTAGCAATGCTGTATAGTTTAAGAGACCACAAAAATGAAAGACATTCACTCTGGTGGATAACAGTTAAAATGTCAATACTACCCAAAGCCATCTACAGATAGTTTCCATCAAGATTCCAATAGTCTCTTCCACAAATACAGAAAAGTTGATCCTTAAATTCTCATGGAATTACAAGGAGCCATGAAAATTGAAAAAAAATTTGAAAATTAAAAAAGGGCTTATATTACTGATATCCAAATTTAGTACAAAATGAAAAGTAACTGAAACTTATGGTGGGTCCAGCACTGTGGTGTAGCCGGTAAAGCCACCACCTGCATTGCCAGCATCCCATATTGGTGCCAGTTTGAGTCCTGATACATCTCTGATCCAGCTCTCTGCTATGGCCTGGGAAAGCAGTAGAAGTCAGCGCAAGGCCTTGGGCCCCTGCACCTGTGTGGAAAACCTGGAGGAAGCTCCTGGCTCCAGATCGGCACAGCTCCAGCCATTGTGGCCAACTGGGGAGTGAAACTGCAGATGGAAGACCTCTCTCTTTCTGCCTCTCCTGTTAACCCTTTCAAATAAATAAGAAAATCTTAAAAAAAAAAAAAAAAAAAAGAGGGGGGGTGCTGTGGTTCACTTGGTTAATCCTCCGCCTGCGGCACCAGCATCCCATATGGGCACCAGGTTCTAGTCCCGGCTGCTCCTCTTCCAGTCCAGCTCTCTGCTGTGGCCTGGGAAGGCAGTGGAGGATGGCCCAGGTCCTTGAGCCCTGCACCCGCATGGGAGACCAGAAGCACCTGGTTCCTGGCTTCAGATCGGCACAGCACGCCGGTGGTGGCGGCCATTTGGGGAATGAACCAACAGAAGGAAGACCTTTCTCTGTCTCTCACTGTCTAACTCTGCCCGTCAAAAAAAAAAAAAAAAAACACCTTGGTAATAGCCCAGGCACATAGAACAAGAGTAACTATTCCATATATAAACTTTCAAAAATTTACATTCAAATGACTTTCAACTAAGTTACATGGCCATTTAATAAGAAGCGTTAATGAATGAATATATAATTGTATCTATTTGGGGCAGGTGCTGTGGCATAGCAGGTTAAAGCCCCAGCCTGCAGCATCAGCATCCCATATGGGCACTGGTTTGAGTCCTGAATGCTCCACTTCAAATACAGTTCTCTGCTAATGCATCTGGGAAAGCAGAAGATGGCCCACGCCCAAGTGGTTGCCCCTGCACCTACATGGGAGACCCAGAAACAGCTGCTGGCTCCTGGCTTCAGATCAGCTCAGCTCTGGCCATTGCGGCCACTTGAGGAGTGAACCCGGGGATAGAAAGACCAATCTCTGTAAACTCTTTTCTTTCAAACAATTATACGTATTTACCAGAATTTTTAAGAAGAGTAGTATTCCTCCCTTTCCCCCACCAAAAAAAACTGGTTTAGATTTAGTGTGTTTGGACTAGCACTTGATACCCACTCCAATAATGAAGTGCCTGCATTCAGTATCTCCCAAAAAAGTTCTTGATTCCAACTCTCTTCCACTGCACACTTGGAGGCAACAGGTGATGCCTCACGTAGTTCAGTCCCTCCTCTGGTTTCTGCCAGGCCATTTTGAACATTTGGGAGCAAATTCATGGATGGAAGCTAACTTTAAAAAAAAAAAACAACAACAAACTAAGATTGAAATGAATGTACATGTGTTTCAGTATTTGTGGTAGTTAAGCTTTATATTCACTCTGATCAATGAATTACTGAATACTGAGCCACTGGCCCTATAGGAAATACAAGGTTAGGTTTGAGTCTCTAGTTCTAGCAGCTTGGTCAACTGTTCAACATATAACCCTTTTTACTGATTTCTATTTAGGAAGACACTTCATTTTATTATATTTATATATACACATACACAGTTGATTCCTAACATTAAACTCATGGCCAACAGAAAAAACTAATTCCAGTGAGAACAAAAATTTAATGCACATAACTGTTTTCTTCATTCAAGAGCACATCATAATCTTTCCATGTTAAGATAATACCAGTTTTTTGTCTTATGCTCAGAATTTCAAGCAGCGCAATCAAGAAAAGCACAGACAAGGAGTGGAGAATGCTATTCTAAATGGACCTGGAAAACAGCACTTATTTAAGGTCAGAGAAATAAAAAGGCAGAGTATAACCTTGCCTTGACCTAAGATTGAGACCTCGCCCTCAAAGTACAATTCTGTGCCACTCTCCATGTTTACAAATATGAAATGACAGCAACAGTAAGAATTGAATTGGGATTTACAAATGATTTTTAGCAGTAGGCAAATTTGTAAATAAAGCAAACATGAATGGTGATAGTCCAACAGAACATAAACAAAGCTGGTAGACGTTGTGATTTAGCAGGTTAAGCTGCTGCCTGGGATGCTTATACCCTATATGAGAATGCCAGCTTGGAGTCCAGGTTACCCTGCTTTAGATGAAGCTCCTGTTAAATACGCTTGAGAGGCAGCAGTTGACAGCCTAAATACTTGGATTCCTGTCACTCTCACTGGAGACCCAGATGGAGTTTCTGGTTCCTGGTTTTGGTGTACCCTATCCCTGGCTGTTGCAGACGTAAGTGTAGTGAACCAGCACATAAGAGCCTCTCCCGACTCTGCCTTTCAAATAAATAAATCTTTAAGGGAAAAAGAAAAAAAACAAGGGAGGGGGTCCATCATAAAACTCAGATGATTAACTGTGGCACTTACCTTTCCAAGAAGTTTGACAAACAAAGGCCATAATTTTAATACATAGGTCTCATTTTTATTCATAAATAGCTTCTGGAGTTCTGAGAATAATTTCTACAAAAAGCAAAATATTTACCAAATAAAATAGAATGAGAAAAAAGTCCACTATCGAAGTCTAGAAATAATTTTCAAAAATTCTCTTAGACAAATAACTTCCAACAAAATAGCCCTCCTCAAAAAAGCATGAAAATTTTTTAAGTATATAACACATCTGAAAAATTTTACAATACTTGAACACAGACACTCAAGTTCTACCATTAACATTTATTGAGTTTGTCTTATCACTTATCTGGCCACCTTACCATTCACCAATCCAGTTTTTCCTACCACTTATCCCAAAAAACTTGATCATACACATCATTAACTATAGTTCCAAAATAATATATTAACTCCTCAAACTAGTAGTTACAGGGGCCGGTGCTGTGGCACAGCGGGTAAAGCTGCCGCCTGAAGTGTCAGCATCCCAGATGGGTGCTGATTCAAGCCCTGGCTGCTCCACTTCCGATCCAGCTTTCTACTATGGCCTGGGAAAGTATCAGAAGATGACCCCAAGTATTTGGCCCCTGCACCCGCATGGGAGACCTGGAAGAAGCTCCTGGCTTTGGATCAGCCCAGCTGCGCCCATTGCGGCCATCTGGGGAGTCAACCAGTGGATGGAAGACTTCCCCCCTCTCTGCCTCTCTATAACTCTGCCTTTCAAATAATTAATCTTAAACAAAAAATAAAAACCTGGTAGCTACAAAAATACATTAATAGCATCATAAATAGGTATCTCAAAGTTTGAGTTTTGTTTCATATTTAGCTAAAAATGAATTATCAAAATAAAAATTCATGAAGACATTGAAGTTATTAAAATAACATTACTGAGACCTCCTGAATTTCAAAAAACAAAGTCCTAGGTTTTAAAATCCTGAAGGCTCCTCCCCTGATTATTGCATTATCTCCCAATGAGTCTCTCTACTTCTGCTCAATAGCAACCATCTATTTTCAATACCACCACCAGAATGAATGCTTTAAAGTCCAGGACAGCAGGTATCACTCCCAGGCTCAAAACATTGAAATATGGCTTTTCATATTCCTAACGTAAAAGTTACATCTTTACAACGGTTCCCAGAGTCCTATGCGATTGGGTCTTCTGTTCTAATATCTACTCCTCTCACCCTCCACTCTACAGCTGTTATACAGCTTGGTGTTCCCTACAGATCAACTAGATACACAACCAGAGCAGAACAGAGACTTTTTGTCCTTGTGGTTGTTTGCCTGAAGTGAGTTTAAACTATCATCCACATAGCTAGTTCCCACACTGCCATCAAATCATTCTTAAGACATCCAATTTTTTAACCATCCTTTACTACCTCTGCATTCCTATCTGGAAGTCATCATTTAATACATTATATACTTTATCATCTTTCCCACTTGAAAGCAAGCTCAGGGGCCGGCTCTGTAGCGTAGTGGGTAAAGCCCTACCACCATATAGCCTGCAGCACCAGCATCCTATATAGGCACAGGTTCAAGACCTGGCTGCTCCACTTCTGATTCAACTCCCTGCTAATGTGCCTGGGAAAGCAGCATAAGATGGCCTAACTCCTCGGGGCCCTGTATCCATGTAGGAGACACAGATGAAGCTCCTGGCTTTGGCCTGACCCAGCCCTGGCTGTGGTAGCCATTTGGCGTTTAAACACAGGATTAAAGATCACTCTCCCTCCCTCTGCAACTGACTTTTAAGATTTAATTATTTGAAAGGCAGAATTAGAGAAAGGTAGAGGCAAAGATAGAGAGGTCTTCCATCCACTGGTTCACTCTCCAGATAGCCGCAAGAGCTGGAGCTGAGCCAATCCGAAGCCAGGAGCTTCTTCTGGGTCTCCTATGTCAGTGCAGGGGCCCAAGGAATCGGGCCATCTTCTATTGCTTTCCCAGGCCATAGCAGAGAGCTGGATTGCAAGTGGAGCAGCCAGGGCTTCAACTGGTGCCCATATGGGATGCCAGTGCTGCAGGCAGCAGTTTTACCTACTACGCCACAGTGCCAGCCTTTCAAATAAATTAAAATCTACTATGTTCATGATGCTTAGAACAGTAAACTGTATTACCAGATACTTAATAATCTATTCTAAGAACAAAGGTTGAAAAATCTAAAGCATGAGGCAAGTAGTAACTAGGAAACCACAGATAAAATAAGTTTATTTCTACTGGATTATATAGTAACAACCCAATTTCAAAGCTCTTGCTTTTTCTGAAATATAATCTTTTCTATTCATCATTAGGGTTAACTGCCTAGACGGTATTAATAAGGAATAGAAAGGTTAGCACTGCACCATAGTGGGCAAAGCTGCCGCCTGCAGTGCTGGCATCCTATACGGGCACCGGTTCAAGTCCCGGCTGCTCCACTTCGCATCCAGCTCTCTGCTATGGCCTGGAAAACAGCAGAAGATGTCCCTGCACTCATGTGGGAGACTAGGAAGAAGCTCCTGGCTCCTGGCTTCAGATCCACGCAGCTCAGGCTGTTGCTGCCATCTAGGGAGTGAACCAGTGGATGGAAGACTTCTCTCTGTTCTCTGTAACTCTGCCTTTCAAATAAATAAACCTTTAAGAAAATAAACAGAGCTCTGTTCCTGTTACACAGGAGCAATGTCTCCACTCACTTAAGTGGTTGTTTTAACTCAAACCTAAACTCATACATCACAGTGCAATTATACTAATGAGCCCACAATATCTTAAGTTCTATACTAAGCCTAAAATTTAATCTCTACTTAAAATAATACTTACAGTAGTCATAAGCTGCTCTGTAATAGATGCTATTTCTTGTTGCTTCTGGAGCAACAAAGGCATTCCCATCTCCAAAGCAGTTGCACCCCGTAGATGTACCTTTTGTGCTGAATGAACTACTAACGGTATAACTAGTTTGGCCCATCTCACTGATTCTTCTCCCATTTGAACTGGGGCTTGTTCAATTAGCCTGTAACAGAAAAACAAATGAATTAACTTGACCTCACTTTTTAAGCCTAAAGTACTAGGGTAATAGACAATACCTAGAAATATGCACAAGGAGCCAGCGATGTGATACAGGTTGAGCTGCCTGTGACACCAGCATCCCATAGAAGCTGGAATCCTGTATGAGTAAGGGTTTGAGTCCCAGCTGCTCCACTTCAAATCCACCTCCCTGCTAATGCATCTAGAAAGCAGTGGAAGATGGCTCAAGCATTTGGGTCTCTATCATCCAAATCAGACACCCAGAGGGAGTTCTAGGCTCCTAGCCTCAGCCTAGCACAGCCCTGGGCCATTGCGGCTTTCTGGGAAGCAAACCAGCAGATGGAAAATATCTTCGTATCTTCCTGTAACTCTACCTTTAAAATACATAAATCTTCAAAAAAATTTATACACAGTAGGGGCAGGAGTTTGGTACAGTTCTTGAGTCACTACTTGGGAAGCCTGCATTCCACATTGGAGGGTCTGACTGGAATTTTTTTTATAAGATTTATTTGAAAGTCAGAATTGGGGGGGGGGGAGATCTTCCATCCGCTGGTTCACTCCCCAATTGACTACAACGGCTGGAGCTGCGCCAATCTGAAGCCAGGAGCTTCCTCCAGAACTCCCACATGGGTACAGAGGCCCAAGGACTTGGGCATCCTCCACTGCCCTCCCAGGCCACAGCAGAGAGCTGGATCCGAAGTGGAGCAGTCGGGACTCAAACCAGCACTCATATGGGATGCCGGCACTGCAGGTGGCGGCCTAACCAGCTACACATAGCACCGGTCCCGAATGGAATCTGCTTCTCTGCTTCCAATGCAGCTTCCTGCTAACGTATAACCTAGGAGGCAACAGGTGATGGGCTCAAGTACTTGAGTCCCTGTCACCTACTTGGGAGACTTGGATTGAACTTCAGGCTCCTGGCTGTGGCCTCAATCAGCCCTGACTATTGTGGGCATTTGGGAAGTGAAGCAACAGATGAAATCTTTCCACTCCCCATCTCTTTCTCTCAATAGGAAACGTTTAGAAATTTATACAGTACAGCCCACTTGTTTCAGTATACATGTGTACATACATGCAAGAAACATCTAATTTGCTTGCTAATTTATATACTTTTTTCCTATAAATTTTCTAAACAAGGAAAATTCACTTTCATCAGGCTATAAACTGTAAAATACTAATTGTTACACTATTAAATTCAACACTATGAGAGAGAGATTCCAAAGAATCATGATATAATCGGGGGAATCAACAGGAACTTCCAAACGCTAAGAAGTGAAAGCAAATACCCCAACAACTGAAGAAACAATGCAGAATGATGAAAGAGTCTGTGTGGTTACCATATCTGGTAAAAAGCAAAGATGCCTAGAAGACAAGTGATTTTTCTTTTCTTAGTAGGCACTGTGACTGCTTCCCTAAACTTTCCTTATGGCCCACAAAAGAGTTTATGGCCGGCGCCGTGGCTCAATAGGCTAATCCTCCACCTTGCGGCGCCGGCACACCGGGTTCTAGTCCCGGTTGGGGCGCCGGATTCTGTCCCGGTTGCCCCTCTTCCAGGCCAGCTCTCTGCTATGGCCAGGGAGTGCAGTGGAGGATGGCCCAGGTGCTTGGGCCCTGCACCCCATGGGAGACCAGGAAAAGCACCTGGCTCCTGGCTCCTGCCAGGATCAGCGCGGTGCGCCGGCTGCAGCGGCGGCCATTGGAAGGTGAACCAACGGCAAAAGGAAGACCTTTCTCTCTCTGTCTCTCTCTCTCACTGTCCACTCTGCCTGTCAAAAAAAAAAAAAAAAAAAAAAAAAAAAGGAGTTTATGGTAATTTTTAAACTCTTGCAAAAAACTTTAGCAGAAATAATCTTTAAAAACTGTTATCAGCGGGTACAATAATCAAAGAGTTAAAATTGTTTTATTTTTATTTTATTTGAAAAGGAGACAGATCGCCCATCCTCTGGGTCATTCCCCAAATGGCTACTATAGGCTGAGGTTGGGTCAGCCAAAGCCAGGAAACTCAATTCCTGTCTGCCTTGTAGGCTGCAGAAACCCAAGTACTTGAGCCATCACCTCTGCCTCCCAGGGTGTGCTCTAACAGTAAGCCAGAATTTGGAGCAAAGCCAGGATTCCAACCCAAGCACTCTTAGTAAGAGATACAGGCAACCCAAGCAATGCCCTAATCACTGCACCAAATGCCTGCCTTCAAGACATTACTTTAAGGCTGTTCTGGTAAAAATAAATCTGCTAGGCCCAGCACTGTGGTAAAGTAGGTTAGGCTGTTATCTGTAGCACCAGCATCCCATCTGGGCACCAGTTCAAGTCCCAGCTGCTCCACTTCTGACCCAACTCCCTGCTATTATTGCCTGGCAAAGTTGCAGAGGATGGCCCCAGTGCTTGGGTCCCTGCATCCACATTCAGAGACATGGATGAAGCTCCTGGCTTCAGCCTGACCCAGCCCTGGCCATTGTGGCCCACAGGGGAGTGAACCAGCAGATGGAAAATCTCTCTCTCCATCTAATTCTGACTTTCAAATAAATCAATCAATCTTAAAAAAAAAAAATCTGGTGGGGCCGCCTGTAGTGCCAGTATCCCACATGGGTGCAGGTTGGAGTCCCGGCTGCTCCAATTCCAATCCAGCTCTCTACTATGGCCTGGGAAGCAGTGGAGGATGGCCCAAGTCTTTGGGCCCCTGCACCCATGTGGAAAAACTGAAAGAGGCTCCTGGCTTTGGATCGGCCCAGCTCCAGACGTCTGGGGAGTGAACCAGTGGATGGAAGACTTCTCTCTCTCTGCCTCTCTAACTCTCCCTTTCAAATAAATAACTCTGCCTTTCAAATTAAAAAAAGTAGATCTGGTGGCCTATGCACATCATCCATCCTCTTATCTTTTTACCATCCTCTTATCTTTTTTCTTTCAGTCTAAGTATTCTTACTATCTCACTTAAATCCCAAAACTTGACCCCGTTAAGTAAATTCTGAATTTTTACTCTTCCAAATCTTCAAGCATCTAAATGCATACCTTATGATAACATTTAATGCTTCAAAATCAACAATGGCAGAATGTATCTCTCCTTTATTATATACTATTTCTAATGAATCAATTATATTGGATACCTACAAGAAAGAAGAAAATAAAAACAAATCAAATAAGCCTGAACTGTTTATTTCACATGTAGTTAAGACATATAAACTATGTACTCACCACTCTGCCAACAAGTTCAGTAGGAAACGTCTGCTTGGATAAGACCCAAAGTGCCCTGGTACGTACATTTTTGTCCGAACTCTTAACAATATCATTTAATTTGGAAAGCAGTTCCTGAATATTTGCCTCTGTAAAGCAAGCAGTTTTAGTTTTTAAATGCAACTTAATTATGTAGAATATTTACAATCTTCAAAATCTTAAAATATAGAAGCACATAAAAATATATTCTTCAATCAACAAAATCTCATCTATATCCTCAGAGCATGTCAAATTTCCTCCCAAAACACATAACTCAGTTCAGAGTGGAAGGAGTATATTCAGGGAACCAGGACTCCAAATCAGATTTTATGCAATTAAAGTATCTCTAAGTATCAGTATGCATAAAAAAAAATGAAGACAATTTTTGGCAAGATAGCCTCCATCTCAGGGCAAGCACTGTGGCACAGTGGGTAAAGCTGCCATCTGAAGTGCCGGCTTCCCACATGGGCACCAGTTCAAGTGCTAGCTGTTCCAGTTCTGATCCAGCTCTCTCCTATGGCCTGGGAAAGCAGTGGAGGATGGCCCAAGTCCTTAAGGCCCCTGCACCCACGTGGGAGACCCAGAGAAAGCTTCTGGCTCCCGGCTTCAGATCGGCACAGCTCTGGCCATTGCAGCCATTTGGGGAGTGAACCACCAGGTTGAAGACCTCTCTCTACCACTCTGCCTTTCAAATACATAAATAAATCAAATCTTAAAAAATAAAAATCCTCCATCTCTGCTGCAAAATGAACGCTGTTATTTCATGTTGCTAACACTTCTACATATAAAAAAAATAAGCAGAAACTTCTTCCTCCAGGAAAAAAATTGAGAGACAAAGCTAGAGCACAACCATCCTCTGATTCACTCTCCCAAATGCCCACAATGGCCAGCCAGAGTTGGAAGGCAGGAAGGCAATCCAGTTCGACCATTTAAATGGCAGGAACCCAATTACTTGAGCTATCTTCCAAGGTCTGCAGTAGCAGGAAGCTGTAGTCAGAAGTCAGAGCTGGGAATCAAATCCAGACACTCTACTATGGCACTCATTTACTAATTGCTACATTGAGGCCTGTAGAGTGGGTAAGAACTATATTTAGGTGTGATGATACTGGTCTTAGGCATCTTTCCAAAAAGCAGTTACTACAAGTTTTTCAGAATAAACTAAAGGTAACAGTACTTGTAACAATATCAAGGTATACTTTAAAGCCTTAAAACACTAAATGATAACAAATTTATCTACCTGATAATCCTGAGGTAACTTTAGGATTATACAAGCAAAACCCCAAGGCCTGTAGAGCAGCACTACTCAGCTCCAAGTTTGGACTTGAAATATGAGTCTATAAAAAACACAATCATTTGTTACAAGTAAATATGATTTTGAACCAATTCTTAGCAATCTTAAGTTGATACATAAGCAAGTCCTCTATATTTTAATTCAATCAACAAAGCCTGTGGTTGTGCAAGAGAAGATGTAAGATCAGAAGGCCAAATAGAAAGCTTAACACAGAAAAGGAGGAACTAGAAAGAAATCAAAGAACATTTTTATTAAAAGAAAAAAACACCTATGTGTGTAAAAACAAAGGAAAGGCCAACAGATGAAAGATGCTACAATTATCAGGCAGGAAATAAAAAGAGTAAAGGCCATCCCACCAAGGGGAAGCAATTGTTTGAAATGCAGAAGCTGACATCGGAGCTTTCCAAGTGGAGTGACACCTCCTGTTCAAAGACTGCCAAAGGGAAAAGACTGGAATGTGACATTTACTAAATACCTAACACAGGAGCAGGTACCTTTCGTCTACCAAGGGTCATCTGGATATTTGTAACATCCAGGAGTCATACAAAATTATCAACAAAATTCAGCCTATTATAAATTTACTGAGTTTCAAGCATTGCCTCCAGTTGCCTTGGCAGGGCCAAATCAAATTATTTTGCAGTCTTTACATGGCCCACAAGCAAGATGTTCCCCACGCCTAATCTAATAGGTGCTATGTGTTTTAAATGTTATTTCTACTTAAAAAAATTTTAATTCCTTCTTTATAGAAAAAGAATGTAGCCCGCGATGCACGGGGCTCCGCAAAGCTGCAGTAGGAGTCGGGGGTGAGCGGGCCGGGCCGGGGGCTCGCGCGCCGCCACCCAGTCTGAAGAAATGAGTGGTGGATTGGCCCCCAGTAAAAGCACAGTGTATGTCTCCAACCTGCCCTTCTCCCTGACGAACAACGACCTATACAGGATATTTTCCAAGTATGGCAAAGTTGTAAAGGTTACTACAATGAAAGATAAAGACACCAGGAAGAGTAAAGGGGTTGCATTCATTTTGTTTTTGGATAAAGATTCTGCACAAAACTGCACCAGGGCGATAAACAACAAACAGTTATTCGGTAGAGTGATAAAAGCAAGCATTGCTATCGACAATGGAAGAGCAGCCGAATTCATCCGAAGACGGAACTACTTTGATAAATCCAAGTGCTATGAATGTGGGGAAAGTGGACACTTAAGTTATGCCTGTCCTAAAAATATGCTTGGAGAACGGGAACCTCCAAAGAAGAAGGAAAAGAAGAAAAAAAAGAAAGTTCCTGAACCAGAAGAAGAAATTGAGAAAGTAGAAGAAAGTGAAGATGAAGGTGAAGACCCTGCCCTGGACAGCCTCAGCCAGGCCATAGCCTTCCAGCAAGCCAAAATTGAAGAACAACAAAGAAAATGGAGACCCGGTCCAGGGGGTCCCTCCACATCCGATGACTCAAGACGGCCGAGGATAAAGAAAAGCACCTATTTCAGTGATGAGGAAGAGCTCAGTGACTGAAATGGCATTTACTGTGTAAATGTCCCTAAGATGGAAAAGCCCGGGAGCATACAGTTCAGCTGAGGGCCATGGTTACTTTTAGAATTTGAGATAAAAACACTTAATACCAAACAGTTTTTTACTAGAAAGTAGTTCATAGGAAATTTAAAAATAAATGGAAAGTATTATGTTTCTCTCTTGCCTTAGCACAGTTTGAGCATCCCTAATCTGAACTCCTGAACACTGCACAGTCTGAAGCCTTGTCATTGCCAACACAGTGTCTCAAGCCGGACATCGTGACAGTGTCACACACCCTGTGTCCTGCTGCCTTCAGGCTGTGTACATAAAGCTTGACAAAACCTAAATGAAGTTCATATTCAGGCTTGGTCCCTTCCCATCCCTGTGGTATCTCATTATGCTTGTGCAACTAGAAAATTCAGAAAAACCCAGAAAACAAAATACTTCTGGCCCCAAGTATGTTTCAAATAAGAGATACACAACCTATACTAGAACTCAGAACTTGCTACTACTAATCTGAAAAGAGCTAATGTTAATAAAAAATAAGAAAGTATTATAATGCTGTTGTCATCCCATGAGAAAAAGGTATTAAAATGATTTGAGATGTTCATTCCAAAACTTTACTCGGTTTGATTGGTTTACATGGCTTTCAAAACTTAGTCTTCAAAACAAATGCTTCATAAAATGTTAATAAACTTTTTCAAAAGAAAAAAAGAAAAAGAATGTAACTCATGTAAACAGAATTTGAAGTCTTACTGATACTAGATATAAAAGCTATGAATGTCCAAACCTGTCAAATGGGTTCTCCATTTATCCCTCAATATTTGCTTGTACCTGTCACCTTTCCTCTCCAAATTTTTTATTTGAAAAAAAAAAAAAATGACATAAAAACCATACATATATATGGTGTATTATGTGAGGTTTCATATATGCATATGGTATATAATATCCAGTAGTTTAATTATATCCCCTTAAACATTTAAGGCAAAACACATCCAAAGATCTCATTTTCTCTGTTTTCTACAACATTATCTACAGTCATCCTGCTGTGCAAAAGAACCCTAGAACTTCTTACTCCTAACTAGTTGTATTTAGTCAAAGTGATTTATTTTCAAAATCCTCTATCTCTCTGGACCAAGGATTCAATGAACCCTCCACTGCCAGTCTTGACCAGGAACAAATGTTAGTGGTCAGATATATGAACAATCCTTCAGAGTGCCCCTCTTACATCTCATTATTAAAAAAAAAAAAAAAAAATCAAACTTTACAGTATAAGAGTATACCAACCAGTTCAGAAGACAATTAAGACTTAAAGCTACTACTGTAAACCCAACATATGGATCAATTTTTAAAACATTTGCTTGAAAGTTATTCCTTAATAGTGTTACGTCCCATTTTCTAAAATGTTACGGGTCCTTAAGACAATTCTAACAGAATTCAAACAAAACTGAAATACGTTCTACTTTAACATAGGTCTTAAATTGTTTCATTCAAATGGAAAGCTTATGTTAATGGTATATTACCAACTTTCCACATGCTTCCAAATAATTCATAAGGAATTTAAGTTACAAACCCGATTTACAGAAAGGGCAAAGTGCACATAATATGGTTCCTGATCCTTTATGCCCACAAACATTAAATATATGAAAGTATGTATCTTCATCACAAACATATTGTTAGAATGTGAAGTAGGTTAATGAAGAAAGTGGAAAAGTCACTAACATTAATTAAGACTTTTATGGAACTTCCACACAAGTTTCTTAACTTAAAGAAGGTTGATTATGAAGTACTTCTGAGTATGCAATACCTTTAAGTACTTCAAATGTTTCCATGTATGCTAAAACATACAGTCAATGTTTTGACAAAATACATTTGAAAGCACAAAAACAGGATCTTAAAAACAAGAGCTCCAAGAGACCTTAGAGGTTTAGTTTCACTCAAAAACAAGGGACCTTAAGCTGAGATGTTCGTGAAGTTACAAAGCCACTGAGTAGTCAACTAAGGACAAAAAACACAAGTCCTCAGTTCGATGTTAAGCTGTATCCCCTCCTATCAATAAACAAGGAATAACCATAGTAACGGTTCTCTAGTGGCAAAAACTGAATGTGAATGAAGAGAAAAAAAAAGAATGCTATCTACAGAACAGACCAAAGACAATCATAATTTTAGAATCATTTACTTAGAAGTACATTCCCAAAAGGAAAGAAAACAGATTATTTAATCTCTGATCACTGCTTTCAAGAAAGAGCACAGGTTTTGGATTCAAGTGGCCATTGGTGACTTCAGGAAAATTAAACCAATCTCTTCATCTGCAAAGTGGGGATTGAAGTGTAAGCTCATGGAGATATGGAGAAGTAAATGAGAGAAAGCATGTAAGATAATTAAAATACCTGATAATTTATATGTAAATCAATAAACAGTATGACATGTCAATCCTATTGCTACTAGCGTATTTTAGATTCAAAATCGAGTCAACTAAAAGTTTTAGAAGCCAAATGTAGCTCTATTTACCAAAAATACATACCCTTAGAACTTTGTACAACCGAGGAATTTTTTTCTCAACTTCTGTAATGACTTCTTTTCCTTCTTCTCCAGTCATACGACTTTAAAAGTAGAAAAAACACAAGTTTATGCAAACAGTAGAAGCAATACTCATTCCCTAAAATACTCCAATTTACCTAACCTTCTAAAATCTTCTAAAAGATTGCTAAGCCTTGTAACAGAATACATATAGCAATGAAAGTACTTCAAAATGTTTGTGAAACACAGAATTAAAAGAAACTTATTTTGGTGCCAAAAAACTTGAAACCCATGCACAGCTTATTCATACTACGTTTTCCATTCATACTACGTTTTCCATTAACTTTTTAAAGACTGGTTGTATGATTTCAGAATTTATTTTTGCACTAACGAAGCCCCATGAATCAGAAATAGGTATGAAAACCCTCAAAACAACTTCTGGCATCTACAAAGTAAAAGTTTTGACAAGTTTCACTGACGACGGGCACACTTGCCCAAGCTACAAGTTCACTAACAATTACTAGATCTCCATAAAATTCTTCTATAATGTTTGCCACAAAAACATTTTGAAGCATTATACAACGATAATAGAGCTTAATTACTGCACCTATTAAAGAGACAACTCTGAGATGCTCCACCTCCCCAGTACGTCGGGGGTTTACGCTGAAAACCACTCCTCCTTTCAACCACTTCCCACCCAAACTTCTCAAGCCTCTCGCTTCCAACACACAGGAAAAGGCTGCCCGCTGAAAAGCCACCTTCGGCGCTGCACCCGGGGCGAGCACGCAGCCCCGGACCCCGACTCCCCGACGACCTCACATCTTGCCAGCGGAGCAGAAGTCACACTCAGCACGCCCGACCCGCCATCCTCCTTCCACCCCGCAGACCCCACGGGACGCCCGTGCTCCCGCCCCCCACCCCTAGCCAGCCTCACCTGGTCAAAGCCAAATAAGCGTCAGTCTGCTCTCCAGGGGAGGCGGAAGAGTCCTCCAACGTCTCCAACAGCGGCGCCAGGGGGCTCCGACCCGGGGCCGTCATGTTGGCCACCCTGAGGCCCGGACCGGAAGAGAAGAAAAGCCAGTGACCGACGGAATCAGCCCCGCGGCGGCCCACCGCGGAGCCGGCCCTAACACCTGCACACCCGCGCCAGCCTCGCAACCCCGCAGCGTCCACACCGCGAGCCTCTGGCGCTCAAACCCAACCTCCCACCTGCCCCCACGGCCGGCAACACGCGCCCAGACCCACGCCGCGCTCGGGCCCGGCCCGCTCCCGCCACCACTTTCCCGGGCAGCTTTCAACAGAGGGAGGAGACCGGCGAGGGGCGGGAGAAGCTCGGGGCGCGAGATGTCTCGCCGCGAGGGGGCAGAGGCTGCGACAGGCTGAGTCTCCCCGGTGGCATAACACCCTCTGCTCCATACTTACCCCCACGTCCGAAGGCCGGGGCAGGGTCCTCTCTGCTGCTGCAGCGAAACACCGGCCGGCAGCCACAGCTCGACTTTCCCGGCACGGGATGTTTACTCACGCGTGCGGCCCGCTCCCTCCTAGGCCAAGATGGCGGCGGGGGCGGGCCCAGGAGCGCGCGGGAGCAGGACAGGCCTGGCGCGCGAGGCTCGAGCCAATCCAACAGGCAGCGGCGCGCCAGAATTGTCGATCGCCTGCCTCCCAAGTCCTACCGCCCCGCCCCGCTCCGCCCCTCCCTCCAGGTCACCTTCAGGTGATGGTATTTTGCCTAAGGCGAAGAACTTGAAATTCAAAATGTCAGTGAGTTGCCCAGGTTCGCCAGATTGAATCTAATGAGCCAAGTTTTCAAACTCACTACTGGTCTCGTTGAAGTATTAGATCATTTAGCAAAAGGAGATAACACTTAAGGTTTGAGGCTAGCAGCTGTATCTCCATCTCAATTTTCTCCCCTAAAATAAAGCTAAAAATAGTACCTATATTTGTGACAATGAGTGGGCAAGGCTAAGGGTTCTTAAATGTTCAGCATGCATAACAATGGCCTGGGAGTATTCCTATAAAAGTGCAGATTTCTGTGTCTCCCCACCCTAGACCTGATGATTCCCTTGTAGACTTAGGCAGCTCCCAAGGATGTGCCTGCTTCTGTTGGACCTCAGGTGTTGCAGGAGTGATTTGACTAGGGCTTCATACTTAGAGAAACTACAATAAACGCTTGTGAACTGAAAAGTCAGAGCCTGATTGGAAAATCAAAGTTGAAGTTTACTCAGTGAGTCAAACTGAGGATTTAAACCTGGAGACAGTTGTCTGAGCTGCCTATTCCCCAAATTTGAGTTTGGTTACAGGTTTTATGACTTTCTTATAGAGAACATGCGTTGAACCAGGTTTAAACAATACAGATTTATGTGTGGTTATCACATGGAAAAGCAAGGAATACCTGGTGAAAATTGAACACCTGATAATTGATGAAGACTGGGCATCACCTCTCCTTCCTCATTCCTACAAAGGATATTATCTGTACACAGGGGAAGGCTAACCATGAGATGTTTAATGATTCTTTCTGCAATGGCCCTAACAAGAAAAGCTTACCACTTCATACATCCATCCTTTTAAAAAAAATTATTTGAGGGCCAGCACTGTGGCACAGTGGGTTATCGCCCTGGCCTGAAGCGCTGGCATCCCATATGGGCGCGGGTTCGAGACCCGGCTGCTCCACTTCCCATCCAGCTCTCCTCTATGGCCTGGGAAAGCAGTGGAGGATGGCCCAAGTCCTTGGGCCCCTGCACCCGCGTGGGAGACCCGGAGGAAGCTCCAGGCTCCTGGCTTCGGATTGGCGCAGCTCCGGCCGTTGCAGCCTATTGGGGAGTGAGCCATCAGATGGAAGACCTCTCTCTTCTCTCTCTCTCTCTCTGCATAACTCTTTCAAATTAATAAATCTTGAAAAAAATTATTTGAAAGACATAGTGAGAGATAATTTCCTCCTGCTGATTCAGCCTCCAAATACTTACAACAGCTGGGGTTGGGCCAGGCCAAAGTCAGGAGCCAGGAATTCCTCCAGCTGTCTCACATGAGTGGCAGAAACCCAGGTTTTCAGGTCATCATTCGCTGCCTTCACAGGTGCATTAGCAGGAATCCTGGGTCTGAAGTGGAAGAGCTAGGACTCGAACTAAAGCTCCTTATTGGATGGCGGCTTAACCCACGGCACCACAATGCCTGCCCAGCTCACTCTTTTTAAGGTACAGTAGAAATTACCTTGCCCAGGAATGATGTGTCCTTGATCACAGTGGGGGTCATTGAAACATCCTGTTACCTAGAAACAAGCCACAGGCCATCTTCAAAGCAAGGACTGCATCCTGGCTGACTTAGACCTCTGCAGGATTTAAGTTCACGCCCTAAGTGAAAGTCAGTTTTTTGGTGTTTTGTTTTTTTTTTTTTTTTTAATTTCTATGCAAGTCCTCTTTTCCTGTGTCTCTGAGAGCTCTCCAGAATTTTAGTGAGTTTAGAACTGGCACTAGAAGCCCAGCAGCAACAGTACTTTCGACTCTGGCACCCTGGGTTTTGAGCCCTGACCCACACTCAGTACAATTTTGGAGTCTAAAAGTTAAAGCTGTGTTTTCTTCTTTTCTGTACCTGCACTTGGCAAAATGTCTGCCAAACCAGGTATTTAACACATTACCTGCCGCTTAAATGAAAAAATAAAGGGAGAGAAAGAGAGGGAGACATACAAGCTCTTGTGAGTCAAGCTATAGAAACTAGAAGCTTTACCAACGGCAAAGGAAGACCTTTCTCTCTGTTTCTCTCTCTCTCACTGTCCACTCTGCCTGTCAAAAAAAAAAAAAATGGTAAAGTGTTGTCTGGTTGCAATGGAGAGTCTCCTTGGAAGTAATGACAAAGTTTTCAATTGCAGTGTGTTAGTGTTCTTCAACCCTCAAAGAGAAATTTGTTTCTCCTTTTCTGGGGTTTAGGAAATCAATACATGTTTAAAAGGAAAGTTATTAGAAAATGAATGAAACATATGGGGAGATTAGGAACACTTAGATTTAGTTATAATGGAGCTGTTATGTTGGGAAGGGAGAGTCTTGAAATCCTATTACTTTATATAGTATCTATGACATTAGTGGAAATTGGCCTTATGACAGGAATCTCCATCCAATCATTACTTACCCTGTTTTATTCTTTCTAGCACTCGTCACTACCTGATATTATATATCTACTTTAAAGCGTGCCTCTCCCCCCTACAATGTAAATCCTATGAGGGTAGGATTTTTTCAAATATTTCTCTCTCTCTCTCTTTTTTAAGACTTACTTATTCATTTGAAATGTATAGTTACAGAGAGATAAGGATAGACACAGAGATCTTCCATCTGCTGGTTCATTCCCCAAATGGCCAGGGGTGTGCCAAGCCAAAGCCAGGAGCTTCTTCTGATTACCTCACATGGGTGCAGGCACCCAGCGACTTGGGCCATCTTACACTGCTTTCCTAAGCACATTAGCAGGGAGCTGGATTGGAAGGGGAGCAGAAAGAACTAGAACTGGAGCCCATATGGGACATGCAGGCCACAAACAGGCCACAGTATAACCCACTGTGCCACAGCACTCACCTTAGGAATTTTTGCTATATTCACTTTCCCCCTAATTTCTTCTTTATAAAGAAGGAGCTGGTAGTCATGTTGCTTCTATGTCTTTCAAATTTATTATTCTATGAGCTTCATAAATTATTATATTTTATTGTTGTCACTCCAATGCCCAACATCCTCTAGCAATTCCCATCAAATACAGGATGAATTTCAAGAATCTTGAAATAACATGCAACCCTATTGGGCTACTGCTCAACCTTTATGTCCAGCATAACTTCCTCATTGTCAGGTTCCAAACAGTCTGCCAGGATCTCCAGTTTTTCTGATTTTGAAGATGCCTCATGTTTAGGACATCAATGCTTTTTTTCCCAAGATTGATGAATGAATGAATTCAAATCACACCTCTCTATAACATCCTTCCCTTGTCTACTCTCCCATCACACATATTACTCCTAGAGAAACTTAAATATTCCTGCCTCCAGGATATCATATTAATAATCACTGTTTGGTTATAGGTGTCTACAAAGGCAGGGTTGAAGGTTAGCCTAAGGGGAAATTAGTTACAGCCTGAATCTCAATCAATGCCCCTCCCTGTTCTTTCTCAATCTGATCTAAATATTAAAAGATTATAGAGTCAAAACAAATCCCCTCTCCATATACTTTTCTCACCCACAATCATCCCGTTTATGGAAATCTGGAACCACTACCATGGATCTGCTCCATTGACAATAAATTCATAGCACTCAATATGGTATGAATTGGTTTGTTCATGCACTCATTCATCCTTTCATTCATTCAAATTAATATGTCACTTTTTAAAGATTTATTTATTTGAAAGTCAGAATTACAGAGAGGCAGAGACAGAGACAGAAAGAGCGGTCTTCTATCTGCTGGTTCATTCCCCAGATGGCCGCAGTGGCTGGAGCTGTGCTGATCTGAAGGCAGGAGCCAGGAGCTCCCACACAGGTGCAGGGGCCCAAGGCCTGGGGCCATCCTCCACTGCTTTCCTAGGCCATAGCAGAGAGCTGGATCAGAAGAGGAGCAGCCAGGGCTCAAACGGGCACCCATATGGAATGCTGGCACTGCAGACAGTGGCTTTACCTGCTATGTCACAGTGCCTACACTTTATATGCCATTTCTTTCTTTCTTTTTTTTTTTTTTTTTTTGACAGGCAGAGTGGACAGTGAGAGAGAGAGACAGAGAGAAAGGTCTTCCTTTGCCGTTGGTTCACCCTCCAATGGCCGCCACGGCCGGCACGCTGCGGCCGGCGCACCGCGCTGATCCGATGGCAGGAGCCAGGAGTCAGGTGCTTTTCCTGGTCTCCCATGGGGTGCAGGGCCCAAGCACCTGGGCCATCCTCCACTGCACTCCCTGGCCACAGCAGAGGGCTGGCCTGGAAGAGGAGCAACCGGGACAGAATCCGGCGCCCCGACTGGGACTAGAACCCGGTGTGCCGGCGCTGCTAGGCGGAGGATTAGCCTAGTGAGCCGCGGCGCCGGCCTATATGCCATTTCTGTCTTCTTTGCCTCTTCAAATCCTAAGACTCTTCTCAGAATATCTTCCCTTTCAGGATAAAGAGTCTTACACCCCCAATCCAATATTACTTTCTAAATTCTCTTGTCTTAAGTCACATGTTACACAGCAAATATCAAGCCTATCATCTAAGTTTCTCAATGACTCCTTCCCCCAGTTGTTTCCAGTGGTTCTAATGATTATTCCTCCGAGGTCAGTTGTATATGTATATATGTACATATATGTATATATTTATAACCAATTTATTGCCTAAACACATCTAAACATTAT